TATCTTCGATCAAGAGTAAAGCACTATTATATATCTCCTCATTCATCTCAACATCGTGATTTCTGGAAGTGATACGAATTTGATGTAAAATATCTTCTGACATATTATCCTTATATTTGTGCCACAGGTTACATGGGTTTGATGGAAAGCATGTCGAAGTTATGATAGCGAATAATGTGCGTATCTGACTTGGAGATGCAGAGATAATGCGATTGCGTATCCCAATGGGTATCGTTTTCTAATAAGTTCAGTTCTTCACATGCAGCACGATATGTTGGGAATATTACACCATTAACAGTCCGTAGTGTCTCAAATGACGTTGGCCCACGCACATTTACCAGCAACAACCGCAAATAGAAACATTCATCATTCTTTGGATGAACTGTATACATACGACCAAGAACATCAGTAGAACGCTCATCCGGATACCCAGGAACCGCATCGTCTTGCTTCCGTTTTTGAAAATTCTTCGATGAAGCATTCCAAGTATAATAACTTGGCATCTCCGAGTAAAGCAAAGTTCGTGCAAACTTTGTTTTTTTTTTTTTATCGGAATAAATAGTATCCTATGTCCGTCTCCTGGCTCTAAGCTACCTCCTCACCAATTTTCAGCCATATCGGTAAAGCCGTTCTTGAGTTATAAATAGTGTAACTAACACGACTTTCTTTTATATATATAGATTATTCTGTTGCATGTAGTATTAATTATTCGATATTATTTTGTTCAACCAATTCTTTGATTACCTGATGAATGAATACTGAAACTAGAAAACATTAAGAAAAAAGCTACATTTCCTATTTTTTATAAAACTGTCGTGTCGTCTCGAAGAATGAAATTGGTTGGAGAAATGTCAAATTTTCAATACTTATTGATTGAATTAGCATTGAAACAATAAACATTGCTTGCAACTATTATAGTATGTTCCATTCAATCTTATTTTGTTAGAGGCTCGGAGTTCCTCATGCGAGCCTTACTAGCTCGAGCCATCACTTACATGGCTCAATCAATCGGTATTATCATTTTTTCTTTTGTTTTTTGCGCTGAGAAATGTGGGTTCGATCTCAACATGGAACGACACTTTGTGTGATCCACAAATTCTTGTTCTGAGTCTGAGTGTTCTTTGTGTCGGTTTCTCGTTTGCCCCCTCTTCCAATCCCCTAAAATCAGGAGTAGGAGAGTTACCCAAACCCCAAACTACCACCCCCTATTCATCCCGTGGGTGTCGTAAGAGGCGACTAAGGGAGCAAACTATGCAGGACAACAGCACTGCAGATAGAAGGAAAACTTGAAACGAACCCTATACCAACCCGTCTGGCCAGCGTGGTATAGTAGGCCAAAACCTCCTTTCTAAGGAGAGGCCTATGTCCAGCAGGGGACTGTTATAGGCTGTTGATGATGATGATGATTGATGAACCCCAAACTCAGCTTGAACACTCAAAGCAACAAAAAAAACCGTGGCACTCCGGGAGTGGCGACAGAAGTTAAAGTTTATATACAAAAAATGCCCAACGCGCCTAAAGAAATTTTCACTTCAATAGAGGTGTCGGTAACGGTAACAGTGCCGCGAGTTCAATTGTTTTTTCCATAAAATACATTCTTTTGTTTGTTGTTCAAAAAATTTTCAGTTATCGGGATTTCAGTTATGTCCTACATTTTACACGGTCTTTAAAACCAATATAAGAATTCTTTATCAGCACCAACAGTGTACATCTGTCTCATTTCCATACAACCATAGTGCAACAGATTCGCAGATTGTTCATACCAGAACGTTGCATTATTCAAGACCAAACGAGGAACATTCGAGCAACATGAGAAATCTGTGCAATTGTAGTTGCCGAATGTTTGATAAACTTTTGATATATATGTTGAAAAGGTTATGAAATACAGTGAATGTGTTACTCGTAATGAGGCTACATATTTGAGGACAAAGATTCTGGCCATAGATAATAAGATAATAAAAAGTAAGAATGCTGGTTGAGTGAAATAAATTGTGTAAAATACCAATGTGGTTGTGATAAAAGTAATTAAATGGTTACTTTGTATTATTATGTTATGTTAGAGGGGACAGATGAGCAGACGAGTCGCCTGATGGAAAGTGACCATCGCCGCCCATGAACGTCTGCAACTCAGGAGTCACAAACGCATTGCCGATCTTTTAGGAAGGAGTACGCTCTTTTCTTGAAGGTTTGAATCTCGTATAGGTCCCGAAATACCGCAGACGATAACCCGTTCCACAGATTGGTTATGTGGTTGCAAAAAGTGTCTCGAAAAGCGAACAGTAGTGGAGCGCCAACTACTATTTTGCTTTAATTCTAAATTTTATTGTGAGTGGTAAAGCAGTAACTACGTAAAAGCTTAACATACGTAAATACAAACATAAGAAAAAAGAAATTACCACGACAAGACAATCACACTCATATCACAAAGGCAAAAGTTTGTGATTGTGTGTGTTTGTATGTTTGTTTCTCTTTCACGCTCAAACAGCCGGTTTGGGGAAAAAAAGATAAAATTTGGTATGGGGCAGCTGACACACATAAGCTATTTTTATAAAATGTTGTAATCCCGTGTCAACCGCGCCTAACACTGCGGGGCCCAGCTAATCTTCAATATAACATTATAAGAAGTAAAAAAAACAAAAATTGACAATAACACTAGGAGGGAATGTCAGAGGCACTCCAAGAGGAATACATTCTTGTACGGATAAGGTAGTTTTATTTAACATTGTGGGAGAGCCATGCTTCTGATAGTGAGTCATCTCGACCGGAGTGAACTGAGCCTCTCAGAAAACCGGAGTTAATCAAATCTTTCATTGCATTTTATTGAATAACTGAGGTAACCAGTAACCAATACCTCCATCTAATTACTCTGAGTCCATTAGTCTATCTAGTACTAAGCACTCACAGATTGGCAAACCACTCGTGTCTCTTGAGTATGTCAATAGAGAGCGATGGTTACTTACCATCAAGTAATATGTCTTATCGATTACCAAGCACACCTTTCTGTAATACCCAATAATAATATCTATTAAATATTTTCACACATCTCACACACGGCCGTCTGATCCCAGACTAGGCAGAGCCTCTACTATGGTAATCAGACTGCTGATAAACATACTTATATATTTCTAAATACATACATGTTATAGATAAAGTACACCCAGAATGACCATGCTCATCACACAATTATTTGTCCTGGTTTGGAATCGAACCCAGGTTCAGGGTCAGTAACCACTAGACCAACAGGCTATATATCAGACAAATAGATGAAAATGTGTATTTATAAACTGCATATTCTGTAACTGCGTAATCTGTGGTATCATTAATTATTATTCATCCCATTAACCGAATACAAACAAACACAAATAAACGCACTGTTAACAATGTACCGAGATTAATTGGCAAAGTTTGGGTTGAATTTATACCGTTTGGTTATTTATTTTATTTGTATCAAACAAATAAATGATCAATTTGTTTATCATTAAATTGAATAAAATATGGATGTTCTGTCCATAAGTACTGCGTATGAGCAGAGATAGAAGAGAAAAGAAGAAGAAAATTAAAATGGGTCATGAATAATAATATACGAGTACTATCTAATATTTCGGACCACTGACACACGATGCCATCTAGTTTCAAATGAAGCAGAGCTTGTACCATGAAAGCTAGATTAATTAATAGAATACTTATATACATTTTATAAATACATAATATATATGAAAATACCTAAACTCCGAAAAGAATATTTGCAGATCATGCAAGCAATCGTGTACGTTAGTTTGGTTATTGATTACACAATAACCGAACTGAGGGCACGCACTCTTTACGCACCCATCGTTTTTGGAAGTCAAAGATATTTCGTTTGTATTTTTGTGTTTCCGCACGATTCACAGATCTAAACGTGTCCAATGTAAGCGCTAGCAGAATAATCCTTTGTGAAAAGCACATTTATTAAATGTATTTATATATTTTACTACACAAAATATGATTAGATGCTTCGACTGGAATTCGTTTTGTGGTAATCGTCTTATTTGGCCGCATACGACTAAGTGTGGAGGGTTTATTCTTCTATATTTTCTTTATAGGCATAATATAACGAATATTATGCCTTGTCGGTTTTTTAAACACATCAAAGGACACGAATGAGCCAAATATTTATGTCGACAGTCGTGTTCGTGTCTCGACGTGTGCGAAAAATATGCAAATGGAGTGGATGAAACGGTACAAAGTGTGGATGACAAGTATTTGGGCGAATACAGCGTAGCTACATAACACGTTATGTGTTATGCAGTGTAATAGGGGCATCAGATGCTGTAGATAGGTGAAAGAAAAGAGGAAAGAAAGTAAACATATTTAATTTCTAAGATACACGACAAACAATTTAAATGAGGATAGACAGAAATAAATTAAAAAATACATATTGCAACCCTGTGCTAAAAAACATGCTGTTTCTAATGTGTCATGTTAAATGTCACGCACAATGCGGCAACACTGGCTACGTGGTATTCACCTCAGCAAAACCAAAAAAAAAAAGCAAGAGGCTGCAGATAACCGCAGTCATCATCATCATCAACAGCCTATACTAGTCCACTGCTGGACATAGGCCTCTCCTTAGAAAGGAGGTTTTGGCCTACTATATCACGCTGGTCAGACGGGTTGGTATAGGGTTTGTTTCAAGTTTTCCTTCTCTTTGCAGTGCTGTTGTCCTGCTTAGTTGGCTCCCTTAGTCGGCTCTTACGACACCCACGGGATGAATTGGGGTGGAGATAACCGCAGAATTGTAACAAAATAACTAACCATAGTATTGTTTATTTTACAATTAAACAAATATTTGAAAATTATTAGAAAAGCAATATTTAGGATGTATATTTTCGGGAATTAGTTCAGAACTGAGTTCATCTGTGCCGTAATATTAAAAACTGATTGGCGAAAAATAACTGATTTAAGCTTTATCCGTTTATTATAAAGCTCGAAAAACGTAAAATTTACTGTATGTACTCAAGATGTATCTAAAGCCGAAGCTCAGGAGTAAGACGCCATTGCGTAGAATACAGTCGGATCTGATATTTATTGAACTTTACAGGGTAGCCATTTCAAAAAAATATGTTATTTTTTTGACATAACTTTTTAATTGTCAATCTGTAATTATGAAAATTGGCATACAAGTGAGAAATAGGGTTTGTTTTAAAATTCAATAAAAATAACCACCAATAATTATACAAGTTTCTAGAAAAATCACATGCTATATCTTACTTTAAGCGCCCATCAAACAAACACTTAATAATTAAAAATCTAAAATACACAAAAAAAAATCTTGAATGTAGTAATAATATTCAGATTCAGATTCAGATTGTTTATTTGCATAACACAGGTATTAATTACAATATTTAGACAATGTAGTATACAAATGTCCGTGTGGTGACGGATTAAGAATACAAATTGTCACCACCCCAATTCATCCCGTGGGTGTCGTAAGACCCGACTAAGGGAGCAAACTAAGCAGGACAACAGCAGTGAAAAGAGAAGGAAAACTTGACACAAACCCTATACCAACCCGTCTGGCCAGCGTGGTATAGTAGGCCAAAACCTCCTTTCTAAGGAGAGGCCTATGTCCAGCAGTGGACTAGTATAGGCTGTTGATGTGATGATGATGATGATAATGTAGTATACAAATATGGTAAGCCATAGAAATAATGAAAATATCTAAATATTTGTGCTTAGAGCAAAATGACATCAGGATTTGTAAGGATTCGCCTGACAATTGTCAGGGACATGGGAGTTCGACACCATAAAGTAATGAAGATAGATACACTTTTTAAAGTAATGATTTTGTTTTAAGTAGAACTGTTTTTTGGACAACATTTGCTTATATATATAACCTGACTCACGTAACATTGTATGGTTCTCACAAAAGGAGTACATTTTTGCCCGTTTTTAAAAGCCGTCATAAAGCCATGTTATATAGCCTATAAATCGGCCTATAAAATTCTAACCAGCAGTTCCTGAGCCTAGCGCATTCAACCAAACAAACAAATCAGCTGCATAATATATATATGACCCACGGGTTGCAATTCCCAGTCGCTGTCGCAGTCACATGTGTTGAACCCATCCATCACACGATGGACTAGGCATCCGCACGGTGAATTCATAGAAGGCCAAAAATAGGTCTGTCTTCATACAGAGTCACCCAAATATTACTATAAGTGAATACAGGATGTCCATTTGAGTGCATGACCATTTTGTTACGCCAAATTACAAACGGAACGTAATTATAACTTACATTTTGAACTTGTCATACCCTACTATTTGGACAACATGACATGAAATTCTTAGGAAATCTATCTATATATATATATATATAAGAGATTTCCACGTATATAGTCACTCATCACGATATCTCTGGAACCATTAGTACTATTAGTATATTAATAATACGCGTGGTATAGTAGGCCAAAACCTCCTTCCTAAGGAGAGGTCTATAGCCAGCAGTGGACTAGTAAAGGCTGTTTATGTGATAGAAATAATAATTTGACAATCGCCTGTTGGTCTAGTGGTTAGTGACCGTGGCTGGTAAACCAGAGATCGTGGGTTAGATTACCACCCAGGACAAATAATTGTCTAAAGAGCACGATCATTTGTTCTGTGTCTAGGTGTAATTTATTTATTATATGCATATATTTAGAAGTAATATGATTATGTTTATCAGCAGTCTGGCTACCACAGTACAGGCTCTGCCTAGTACGGAATCAGAGGACCGTGTGTGAGACATGTGAAGTAATAAAAAAAAAAAACAGGTGAATACAACAATGTCAGTACAAATTACTCTTAAATCGTTTTCCGTTAGTGTTCGCTCCTCCTGCTAAACGATTGTATCAATAGTACGAGCACGTCGATAGTGTACTTGGCATTACCACTTGAACTTTAGCGATTACAGCAGCGTGTGAGTCCGCACGGCACAGAAGCTCGTATCTATCTGACCAATTACGACGGAACGTGTTCGAAATTTAAAATGGAATTACGTAACAAATCAGTAAAAAAAGCTGAAGGAGTTTGAAATGGGTGAAACGTTTCTTTTTAATCTACTTCAAATAAAGTTCTTAATTGGATTTTTTTTGTTTGTTACTTCAAAACTTCTGTAATTTATGAAGATTTGGACAATTATTTTTTTATTTAAGGGTAGATATACTTCCTACTTAGTCTCAGTCGAATTTGAAGAAAAAATACCAAAGCGCAATGAACTAGGTGATACCTTTTTAAAAGTTCTATGCTATGCTCACACAGTTATTTGCTCACATGACACCTATGCCTAAAAACCAGTTAAAATATTTTTTGTCTGTCTGTCTGTTTGTTCCAACCGATTTTGATAATATTTTACTATCAGGTAGCTGTCTGTATAAGGAGTAACGTATGCTATTTTTTCTCTCAGAAAAACCCTACAAAACTTTGCCCGGTCGGGAATCGAACCCACTAAGGCAGTGTTTTTAAAATTCGCGGGCACCAGCTAGTGTGGTAATAAATTTTGTATAGGCGTGTTTTAAGTATACTACGGATACATTCTATCGTTATTATTGTACATAATAGGTAATAAACACGCATGGTAACGCCTATAAACATGCAAGCTGAAAGACCTCACTTCAGCGATTTCAGTACAATGTAGGCTTTGCAACGTTTTACAACTAAATTGGCCTTTTAGGGGAGATAAATGTGTTTGATGCAATTTTCTGTAATATGTTAACGCTTCGAAAGCTTTATATTGCCATGTTAAGTTTATATTTAGTCTAAAACATTGTTATAAACAAAGTGGCGTGATAAGTGCTCAAGATTTTAAATCTTGCTTTGTTACGTTGAAAAATTTATGACTGTTACAAAGATAAATTCACAATAAAACTTCTTAAAATGAAGTTATATAAATGTATTAAGTTTGTTAATAGGATATTTGTTGTCTGCGTAGTGACGGATTAAGAATACGGAATGTCACTACCCCAATTCATCAGGTGGGTGTCGTAAGAGCAGACTAAGGGCGCAAAACAACGCAGGACACCAGCATTGCAAAAAGAAGGAAAACTTGACACAAACCTTATACCAACCCGTCTGGCCAGCGTGGTATAGTAGACCAAAACCTCCTTTATAAGGAGAGGCTGATGTCCAGCAGTGGACTATTAAAGGCTGGTGATGTTATGTGATGAACAGGATATTTTAGACAATGGGTATATGCAGATAGTAATTTGTGATATTAGTTTTAAGTTTTAACCAACTGGACACCGGCCGACACTGGCCGACATTGGCCGCTTCCTACTGCGCTGAGTTTTGTGTTTTCGATCCCCACATGGGACAACACTTCCACAAATTATTTTTCTGAGTTTGGGCGTTCTTTGTGTTCGCTTCATGTATGTTTGTTAAGTCCCCCGCGACACAGGATTTATTCCTAGTGCGGGAGTTGTCTTTCAATAAATAAGAAATATCTTACAACCAAAAAAATATTGTTGTCAGTATTAATAAGTAATTTATAAATAAAGTAAGTGAATTTAATGAACTATCGCTAGAAAAATTGAAACTGATAACTAAACGCGCTAATGCATGAGTGAAGAAAAGCATTATTTACAATAGGCTAGTGTCCACTAATAACAAATTGCTTGGTTTATAGTTTCAAATTTTAAATGAAGGGACATAGATAAGAAAAAAACAGCCCGTTTCTCATAAAAGTTAAAGATTATTAATATTTAAAAAAAATCGTACAAAATAGACATTAAGTCACGTGACAGCGAACACCAACCAGAAAGTGTTACGTCACGCCACGCAAGACATCATTGTTGTTGTTGACGTTTTCATACAACAGAGCAGGTTACTCCTTATTGTTTTTCATTTTAGCATATTTTCTCACCTTAATACAGTTTCAGTGGACACTGGACACAGATGTAAACAGTTTAGTTTTGCAGACTGTGACGTCATTTAAGACGCCATGACACTATTCAGCGTTTTCAAGGGAAATTTAAATTGTTTTTTTAAATACAAAATACGTAATGTAAATATTGCTTTTTATAAAATATAGGTTTTTTGGGATAAAATAGATATCAAAGTATATATTTAACCACGTTTTCAAATTGAGTTAATCAGCCTATTTACATACATGTAAACGTTTATTAGTAAACTTAACGGCATAGCACACATGCAAATTTGACTAGATAATTTCTCTTGTGAATTCTTTGACACATATTAAATTAACGTTCATTCTTAACATAACAATGTAAGGTTAGATAGACATAAACACACACCTTTTAGTGTGTGTAAGGAGAAACTTAGTAGACGGCGCACAAAGGACAGATGTGACAAGATTTTAAAGACGCTGTCGGTTACCAAACAATGTGTAAGGGTCGAGGTTACTCTGGAATTTAGAATAAATGTATGTGTTTAGTTACAATGCCCATACAGAGTCTTTGTAAACATGGATAGCTTGAGGCGTTAACGTTGTTAGAATGCTTATAAACGTGACAGCTTTATTTAACAAACTTATTGCTGTAAATGTGAAAATCTCTTAATATCTGTAATGTATAATATTGTAATATTTCTTTTTAAAAAAGACAATTCCGGTACAAGGGATATAATGTGTGTCTTTTTAAAAAAATACATAGACGGCATTAGGAATATATGTGTGTCGCGGGGGACTTCACAGCAAACAGAAACAATGAACACCCAGACTCAGAACAACAATTTGTGGATCACACAAAGTGTTGTCCCATGTTGGGATCGAACTCGGCTAGGTGACCGCTTAAACCACTACAGCACCCGTGCAGTCATTTAGCTCATCAAACTCCTGGTGGTGGTTGATAAGTCGGGGTAGTTACACAGTTACACACCTTATTTTGTAAAAAGGGTATAATAACAATTTTCATAACCGTTTACCGTACTTGTGAGGCTGATGAATGGGGAAAAGGGGTAACCTGTATATCAGAATTATGTAAATTGGTGCTCTATGCCTAAACCGCATAGGGTTAAGGATTAAAAATATGCATGTATGTATTAGTAAGCAATACGGGAATTACTACATTAATAATTCCCTTTCGAAGAAACGGATCATTTGCTTTTCCCCAAATGTAATCTATTTGGCAAGTCTAAAATCGTTAATTGCAAATACTATCTAAACCTTCGTCTAACTGGTGTAAATTTTCTTCAAAAGTATATACAAACCAGGTCTTTTCTTTGTTACAGATTGTGCTATACGATTGCGTGCAACGCGCACTGGACGCGTTCACTCCGGGCACCTGCCACGCACACGTGGCTGTCGCCTGTTGATCCCTCCGCCCCCTTTCCGCAACGCCTTACTAGTAGAGCTGCATAAACTAAACGTACCTTGCGCTAACGGCTTTATCCGCTTCGCACCAAACACCCCCACATTATGCGGGAAACTGGACCAAATACCGCTCCCAAACAAGAAATTTCTCTACTCGTCATCATCCAAAAATCCAGCAATAGAACTTCATGGCCGACCCACGTTCGCCGCAGTATACCGTCTAGTAGACCATTGTCATAATGTTTTGCTAACGGCTAGAAACGGCTCGTTCGAAGTGGGCCCAACAGTTAAGCTGATATGTTCCTACAAAATCCACCTTCCTTATGGAAACCGCGTCGCTCTGCGGCTACAAATGGGCACGGGGCCAAAGAATACGAGAGAGAATGATCTTTCGAATATCATCCACGAGGATGTTCAAGCTTTATGTAGAGGAATGGAATTGAGTCTCGAAGATGGGGAGTCCAGGTGGAGACACTGTTCTCAGCCTGGAGACCCGTTGAGAAGTGTTCAGATAGTATCTGAAAAGAATTCTGTTCGGTTAAATATTAGTGTAGCAGCAAAAAAAAATACGTCAGCTATGTGGCTGAAGGTGTGGTGGATGGATAAGGCTGTTGAAGAGACTGTAGGTCATTGTGACTATGGGTGGGTTTTGTCTGGAGATTTTTGCATATCAGCTGTGAGGGAAGCGAAGAAGGCTTGGAGGCAGGCTGAGGCAGAGTGTGCGAGATTAGGTGGACATCTCGCTAGTGTACTTAATGAGAGGCAGCAGCAAATTATGGACCAAATGCTGATACACGCGTAAGTATAATTTAATATCTTTGTTTTTGTTAACTAATTGTGTTATCTAAAATACTCATTTCTTTGCTTATATTGTGTTATTTTACTAACTTACTTATGTTGTTTCTTTTACTTTTAATCATAGGTTGGTTTATAACTATTTTTGAACATAGGCCTCTCCTTAGAAAAGAGGGTTTGGCCTACCATACCATGCTGGTCAGACGGGTTGGTATAGGGTTTGTTTCAAGTTTTCCTTCTCTTTGCAGTGCTGTTGTCCTGCGTAGTTTGCTCCCTTAGTCGACTCTTACGACACCCACTCGATGAATAGGGGTGGTGACATTCCGTATTCTGAATCCGTCACCACACGGACATAATCAGACGGCTAATAATCTCTTTGTAATTTTTTCATGCTACTTTAATTCTAAAGAATCTGAAACAAATTAATCTGAAGTAAAAAAAGTATTACTGATAACAATGCGCCAAAATCATGAAAAATTGTAATATGCTGTCTTTGTTCTACCTTTTCGACCAGTAGGAACAAAATGTTTTCTTCAAAATTTAAGTCAGATCAACCCTGAAAACAAACGGTTAATTAAAAAATATAGGTATTGAAATTGGTTCAGAAATCGTGATAATATCGTGTAACGCACATACACTACAAACATATATTGAGATCAATATTAAGAGCTTTTTATTTTTAGTTTTTTAAAACTTGGATCTTTTTAAAGTTAAAGATTGTAAATAAATGAAAATGTAAATGTGTGTGCAAAATTTTGTTTCGACTAGTGGATAATTGAGCTGGAACTTGTCATTATTCATACTGAGTGTACATTTGTTAAAGCTCACATTCTAAGTCAAGAATATTTCACTTCCAAAACTAAAGTAATTTAATTTTCACGAAGACAAATGATTGTTAGCAAGCACTTCTCTGAAACTATAAAATCTCATTTCGGTGAAACTCGAAATCCGGGTCCGTTTTTATAAAAACTGTCAAAACTAAAACTAAATTTTGAGTTAAATCCATCTTTTATATAATTTATATAATATTATATTTCATATAATGTATCAGTAGAATAAACTGAATTCATTTTACTTTTGATTTTACCCTGCGTTTTGCTTGCTCAATAATATTTCAAAATCAGAAAATGTAGACTTGACTTTTTAAACTTACTAGGATTGACTGCTAGGAATTAAGTTCGTAGCTCATTAGAGCCACCCGTCCAACACCGCCACGCCCCGAGCGGTTAGTATTCCTTGTATGGAGTACTATGGGTATACGCTCACTACATCAACTCCGGAACGCCCCGCTCGCGGGTTGGAGTGGACAACTCAGTGACCGCGCGCTGTCCGCGAGTGATTTACTCGCGAGGGCGATGCGTCGGCGGCACTCCGCTCCTCCTTGAAAGTGTCTGTCGTATCGTTTTATGATCGTATCGGCGTCCACTCGTAGACCACCCGTTAAAAACGAATGGAGACCGAGTGACGAGGTGGTGCTAGTTGGGCGTCGGGTTGCGTTATGACCTTAATTCATCCCACCGTGCTACAAAGTAAAGAGAAAATGAAATAATTAAAAAGTGAAATTTGCGGCAAGTGTTGTGGGTTTGATCACCACAAAGAACAACACTTTTCATAGTTGTAAAAGGGAGAATATGTTTTGGCCGGGTTGCCTAATGAAAAGTGTCAGCTAGTATTTTTAATTAAATTATTATAAATTGCGTTTTGATTATAATTAATTAATTTTTACTTTTAATATTAATTGATGTGTGAGCCACAAATTGTTGTTCTCAGTCTACGTGCTCTTTGTGTCCGTATCATAAACTTTTGTGAAGTCCCGTACATTATATTTTTCTAATGCGAGAGTTCTTTTTTTATAAAAATAAGAAAAAATAAGAACTCCAGGGAGTAAGATGTCTGGTAAAACAGAGAGATCGTACTATATCAGATAAAAAAATGGAAGCGTCTAAATAGCGCAAGTATGTCCTTTTGGAATCAGTTAAAAATGGATAATAATTATGTTTTCATGTTCTAAATTTAAAAAAATCGGCTAAAGTTCATTCAAGTACGAATGCAACAGGCTGATACCGCAACCTCTGGACATAACGAGAATATTATGATCTCAAGAAACTTAAACCAAAATTTAATATCCATTTTACGTTCTGAGTGCAACAAGTTACCGGGAACAATCAATGGAGCTGTTAAACTGCGAGATGAATTAGTACTGGCGTCAAGTGAGGCTTACGTGTGTTTACACTGAGAATTTTGCTGCGTCTCTTTCAGTGTTAATCTCCTCTTTTCACTAAACAGTTTTATACCTGTTTAGTGAACCTGTTTAGTTTTACGCCCATCCTAATGACTGATTGATCTAAAATTTGGAGGACAACTTTAGTTCTAATAAAAATACAATCATGCATGTTCAGTATCAGTATAAAACCAAAATGGCCGTCACCACAAAAGCAAGGATTTTTTTTTCAACCCCGTCAATAGAGATAACAAATAAAAGGCTTCGACTAGTAATAGTAAATACACACACATAAAAAAAAAAACAAATTCAAAATGGCCGCCACAACAAGATGGTGGCTTTAAAAATTTTGTATGTTTTTCGTACATAGTTTACATCATCATTCTCTTTATTTTCAATGAAACCGTTTAACTAAAAAACATTTGTACCTATTTTAATGCTAGTATTTTTTTTTTTGCCATCCCTTTGATGTTCTTAATTTACATCAAAAAGGAAATTGTAAATAATGTAAAAAACTTTTTTTTTGTGCTACGCGATATCATCGTTTTTGCAATTAATTTTTTAATTGAATTAGTTCTACTCAAGACTGTTCCGGTTGAAATTTGAAAGCAATAGTTTGCCAATCGTAACAGTAAAAAAATTGTAGGTGAAAAATACAGCTTATTACAATGTATTAAGATTCAATTCATTGAATTGGGTGGTACTTTATTTGAAGTTAGTTATTTGTGCGGAAGTCTTTTGATAATTTGTACGGCTATTTACAGCATTAAAGAAATAAAACAACTTTATATTCATTATAATATTAGACGTACGTACAACTAAAGTTATGGTGTACAGAAAACTTACAAAGAGGTTTATTTATTCATGGCTTTTATAAGATTTCGACTGTGAAAGATAACCCAGGAGTCATCGGATCATGTTTCCATTTCTCTTGCTTCGACTATATGGTTGAGAACAATGCCCTCTCTCTTTGTAATGAACGTACTGCCTTTTCTGCCCCATTAATCTCGAATCGGGGTTACCGTAGTAGGTCAAAAGGGTAATTTCTATGGAAATTTTCTGCCTCGTAAACCCTAAAAGCCTCTGTCGTCGCCCCTTGCCTATCAGGTTTCTGTGCCACTAAAATGAAAACTGATGGCTCTTGCAAATATTAACGTACATCAAATACACCTTAATACTGAATATATTACTGAACGAAATACCTTTCAAGGCTGATAAGAAGATTTTTTTTAATGATGGGCTAGTTTGACGCTGACGAGAGAAAGAAAAATTAAAACAAACCCTACACCAACCCGTCTGGCCAGCGTGGTATAGTAGGCCAAAACCTCATTTCTAAGGAGAGGCCTTTTTTTTTTTAAACTACTAACTACGCTTTTTTTTTTTAAACTACACGACTAAAACCGCACGCCGTCTCGGGTACTAATAGCCGGGGAAATAGGTATACCCTAGAAAGGAAGTCCCTGGTGCGCTCTAAGGATCTATGTCCATCAGTGGACTATGAAAGGCTGTCGATGGGCCTGTTCTAGTGGTTAGCGATCCTGACTCTACCATGAGTTTGTTTGCCCTTACTTCTCATAAGGCTTAACCCCTTGGAAACGGGCGGTTGTAGATCGGCACAGGCATATCATAGATTTTGTATGGGTTTGATTTTTGCTTACTATTTGACAAAACAGAGATTGTTGCTTTTGAGTGTGTTGATCTATGACTTTAGAGTCTACATAAAAGACGATTTCAAACAATTAAAAAAAAAATGAAATAAAGAGAGTTTGAGTTTAAGTTTGACTGATAACCCAGATGGCGTGGGTTCGATTCCGTCCCAGATCAAATAATTGTTTGATGAGCACAGTCATTTGTCGTGTCTGGGTATAATTTATAATGACAGGTCACATGGCTATCATTGATAAATTATACTTTAGGGATACATAATTGCACCAGGGACTTCCTGCACTAGGGACTTCCTTTCTAGGGTATGGTTATGGTTCCCCGGCTATTAGTACCTGAGACGGCGTGCGGTTTTAGTCGGTTCGAGTCCGACATACCACCGACAGGTGGTATCCGAGGGGATTTCCGCACGAAAAAAAAAAGGGGATACATAATTATGTTTATCAGAAGCCTGGTTACCATAGAATGGAATGGCTTTGTCTAATTTGGGAAGGAAAAGATATAGATTTTTTTGTCCTTTGATTTTTGTAGCCGTGTATGAAATGTGTCAAATTTTTTATTATTATTACAAGATATAAAGTTAACTGGACATGAAAATCTCTGTGGAGTTGAATTTGAAAATTAAAGTTGCTTTTCATAACCACCTTCTCGAGGAAGGTTGGATGAAATTTAACATCACCCCATGAACATGTCTTATTTGCTCCACAGTCCTGGTGCTGGTGTAGATGACGTGTATTGGATCGGAGCAACCGACGCCGTCCATGAAGGGGAGTTCCGATGGTCTGATGGACTACCTTTCTCCTACGCACGTGAGTACATGGATGTTTTAAATATTTACTTATTCCTACGGAAGGAGAGGTATGCTTCAGAGCGAAACGTCCTCACAATAAGCCTGTGTTAAGTAATTCTTTCCTTGTTTTTAACCGAGTTAGTGGAGCTAACGGAGGACCCAAACTCCTTATCTCTGTGGGAGCACAAAGGTCGTCACCTCACTTCTATTTTTTGACGTGACAACGTCTTATAATTCGATAAAGCCGGCTGCACGCACGAAAAAACATGACTCATGCGGCGTTACCTCGCTCTGAGGCGTTCCATTTAAGAGAGCGCGGAACGAGCGACAAAGAGGCACAATCGGCCTCCGCGTTCGGCAGCGTTCGATATCTGTCTCTCTCCTACTTGAGTGAGCGATGCGTCCGCGTGGACAGCTGCTACTCGTATACAATAATACATTTTTGAAAAATGCAACCATTCCATCAGTATTTTCTTATGACGTTGTCACGTTCAACTATCGTCAGTAAACCGACTTTACAGACAACCGATTTTTTGAGCTTTCTTTTTAAAGACAACTCCCGCGTTAGGAATATATATACTGTGTTGCGAGGGACTCTACAAACAAACATGAAACGGACACAAAGAACACCCAGACTCAGAACAATATTTTGTGGATCTCACGAAGTGTTGTCCCATGTGGTGATCGAACAAATAACACTCAGCGCAGTAGGACCGCTAAACTAAGGTTTCTACTCAGTTGCGATGAACACGTTTAAAACGCGATTTGTGGGGGCTTCTTGCAGTCTTGAGAGCAGTTCAGGCATTTCTTACACTGCACTACATATGGGTCTGAAACAAAATGATCAGTCTATAAAAGAAAATGACTTAATAACCACGTAGAACTAAAGAGACGGAAGTGTTCAGACTCGTATTGAGTGGATCTTAAGTCTGAGTGCTCTTCATTTGAGGGCTTCTTGTTTTACGTTAGTCATTATTACGAATTTTAGTTCGTAAATCTTAATAAAACGTTCAAATAATAAATAAAGGATTAAATTGTGGTTTATTTATTTATGACAAGTTGTACACGGGCATTCGTTCCCAGTCTACCTTCGATTTAAGGTTTCGAGTTAAGAATAAGAATTAAGGTTAAAAACATAAATAAGGTATTAAGGTAAGGTAAAGGTATTTAAAAAATATTAAGTATTTAAAATATTAATACTCGAGACAGATACATTTATTAATTACTAGATTACTAGAACAATTTTCTTTTTCAATTTTCTTTAAATGAACTTTAAAAGAATGACAGTACGTTATTTTGTTAGTGACGGACTCAGAACACGGAATGTCACCACCCCTATTCATCCCGTGGGTGTCGTAAGAGCCGCCTAAAGGAGCAAACTAGGCAGGACAACAGCACTGCAGAGAGAAGGCAAACAAGTATTAACAACTCGTAGTATTCCCAACTCGTCTGGACAGCGTGGTATAGTAGACCAAAACATCTTTTCTAAGACCTATATTCACCAGTGGACTATGAAAAGCTGTTGATAATGATGAATTAAGATATTTATCTAGTGTTAAAATGTCGAATAAGAAACTCTTGCCTAATAGACTGTCTGAAAAATAAAATAGAAGACAACAGCAAATTTTATATTCTCATACTACAAACCAAGGTTACCAACAATGCGGACCGGATCAGCAAGCTGCAGTGAGCTGGCCATATTAGCCGCAGAACCGACAACCGTTGGGAAAACGAGTTCTTGAGTGGAGACCGCGTCTCGGCAAACGTAGTGTAGGACGCCCACAGGCCAGGTGGATTGACGATTCGCAAGATGGCTGGCATGAGCTGGATGCGAGAAGCCCAAAATCGATTTAAGTTGCGTGCAATAGGAGAGCCTATGTCCAGCAGTGGACTGCGATAGGCTGATGACGATAATGATACTACAAAGGAGAGTCGAAGTACCTGAGATAGATTCGAAATACAATAGTGAATGAATGGCTATGGAAAGTATCTTGTTTTTATTTAAAGACTTTTTAGAGCGATAGTTTAAATTCAAATTTAATTTTTATTTATATATAAACCACAGCTTTAGTTTCTGGCTAACAATTAAGTTTGTTAATGTGTCTAGTGGTTAGTGGCCCTGACTGCTAAGCCGTAGGTCGTGTGTTTGATTCCCACCCAGGACAAATATTGTGTGATGAGCACGGTCATTTGTTCTGTGTCTGAGTGTAATTTATCTATAATATGTATGTATATAAAGTTATATATGTATGTTTATCAGCAGTCTGGTTACCATAGTACAGGCCCTGCCTAGTTTGGGATCAGAGGGCCGTGTATGAGATGTGTGAGGTTATTATTATTATTATATTAATGTATTTCAACAAGTTCCACCAAGTGCCAACAATCGATCATATCAACAGGTACTTTTTTTTAAATAGAATTTCATAGAAACCGTTAGACTCACAATTATTGTATTAATTAACAGCTAAAATATTATAACTTCAACTTGAACAAAATTGCACTAGTAATGGTTGTATTTCCGTTGTTCGAAAACTGTCTAAACTAAACTAAAAATCACAAAAAAATTGTTTAGTCCTGTCAAATACTGCGTTTTCAAAAAAGGAAACGTTGCTTGGCAGGACTAAACTAATTTTTAGTGATTTTTAGTTTAGTTTAGAGAGTTTTCGACCAACAGAATTAGCACCAATAACAGCCTATTGGTTTGCTTTGAAACTGCGGCAATGATGGTACGATAAAAAACCTATACTCGTACGTCTATTATTAGTAAAATAACTTGAGTGTTGATCGACGTGCGAACAAAATCACGTCTCATTTAATAAATAAGCACGGATATTAAATAAATTTGATGGCGCAAAACATTATAAAGTTACTTAGGTAACTAAAATATGTAGCAATCAAACCCATTTCATTAATAATATGCTTTCACAGCCGAAACCAATTGCTTACTTAACTACGGTGTTACTTGACTCCAAGCCTCGAAAATCAATGTTTGCTTATCTAATAATACTAATGGCTTCTTTGAAATTAAATTTCAATTACTTTAATCAAAATACCTCCATGTCATCTGAGGTTGTTGTCATACGTTGGCTAAGAGTTTACAGGAATGTGGCTTAAAACAATCTAATATATAAAATTCTCGTATCACGGTGTGCGTGATTGAACTCCTCCGAAACGGCTCGACCGATTTTCCTGAAATTTTGTGTGCATATCGGGTAGGTCTGAGATTCGGCCAACATCTATTTTTCATATACCTATTTTTTTTTTTTCTTGTTATTTTTTTAAAATAATGTACAAGACAAAACAACATTTGCCGGGTCAGCTAGTATTTAATAAATAAAGATCGATCCATCTGGGAACTTTGTACAGATGTGAAGTGGTATGACGATGCCTAAACAAAACCGTGTTTCTATGCTAATATTATATAGCTGAAGGTTTTTGTTTTTGTTTGGTTAAACGCGCTAATCTCCGAAACTACTGGTTCAAATTAGTAGTTATTTTAGAGTTGGATAGCTCATTTATCGAGGAAGGCATAGGCTGTATAATAGGTGACGAGCTTCAAAGAAGAATATTGCAAAAACGGGAGAATTTTATTCCTCTTGAAAGACGTAGAAAACTTTTTTAGGTTAAGAAAGTGTTACAGAGCTACGTAAAAAGGGGTCAAAAGTTTGTATTTTTTTTAAGAAGTTTTGGCTTTAGTGATGGGATATCTGTCAATACTAGTCGGAGTAGCTTGGAAAGAGACTTTTATTGTGTATTTGTTACACCATAACTTACCTAAGTATTACTACACAGTATAGTCCACCCTGACTGTCCGTGAGAGATCGCAAGGGCGATAAGACCGCCCACTGTACTGCTGCATAACATATTTTTATATACTTATTTTGGTAGACTAAAGGATATCTATATCATCTACACAGATAAAAAAATTGTAACAAATTGAAGCATCTCACACGCACCATCTGAGCCCAAAACAGGCAGAACCATCAACAAAAACTATTACCTAGATTATTGATAAACATACTTTTATATTAAAATACAAATTCCACTCAGACACGGATACTCACATAAGTAGGAACAGAATCCACGACTTTTGGCTACACTAAAATAAAAATAAATCCTTTTCAAATTCTATTATTTTTCACTAAATTAACTCTATATATTACATTATCATCCATTTTTTTGTAAATATTTGAAGTAACGAAGTAATTGTAACAAAGAAAGAGGTTCCATTTCAATTCTAAACGAAACAGAGCGGACTCCAGTTTCGTACTAATTGCAACTTGTTTATGCATGTTTCAATAGCGGAGTGGGTTCGTGAGCATTCCTGCAGTCATGAATACAATCAGTTAATTTAATGCACACACACACAGAAGCTTATTTGTTGGGACGAAATTTGATTAATCCTCTTGATAGTCGAGATATGTAACTATTTGCGACTCTACTGGCGGTTTAGATTCGATCCCAGCGTGTACAACGTAGTATAAAGAATGTTGTAATATTTTAGGATTTTTAACACGTTTTTATTAGATTGTTATGTATGTATCTTTATAACGAAATCTTTAAACGTGATTTTGATCCACTCTTAAACGTCGGATTGAATTGAAACTTCGCACACTTATCAAGGACCAATGACAGTACAATAATTTAATAAGTCTGTCCGGTTATACTGATCAGGATCTTCAGGGTTAACGGCTTTCCCATTTTAAAAAATACATTCTTTTGTTCGTTGTTCAAAAATGCCCAATGCGCCTAAAGAAGTTTTCACTTCAAAAAAAGCCCAAATAGGGTGCAAATATGTAATGAATTTGCGTGATTCAATTGTTTTTTTTTTTTAATGTATCTATTATACTAGCTTGTACCTTACCACGCTTTGCTGTGGAACATTGTGGTGGCATTGATGAGAAAAGAATAACAAAACTGATCCGCAAAATAGACAAAAACTATCTTTAAAGCGGTTTGTGGGCTTTTGAGTTATTGAAGCGTACTGAAACCAACTGAACATTTTTGGAAATTTAAATTACCATAAATACATACTGACTGCACGGACGCCGAGTGTTGTGGGTTTAAACCCCACATGGGACGACACTTTGTGTGATCCATAAATTGTTGTTCTGAGTCTGGGTGTTCTTTGTGTCCGTTTCATGTATGTTTGTAAAGTCCCCCGCGACACAGGATATATTCCTAATGCGGGAGTTGTCTTTCAATAAATAAGAAATATCTTACAGGCCGAGGTTCACGTTCGATTGGCATAATTTGTGGGGATTAATATCGGGTTGTGAGAGGAGATCCTCACGATACTCGGCGTCTAGACCGTCTAGACATGATCAGTATGACGACATTGAGTGCAATTTGATGCAACTTGAAGCGACGTTAAATTAAATAATTCATTCGAAGGGGACTGTATGTAGATGGCCCGAGGTATGTCGGGGCACCAGGGACTTCCTTTCTAGGGTATACCTGGTTCTCCGGCTATTAGTACCCAAGACGGCGTGCGGTTTTAGTCGGTTCGAGTCCGACATGCCACCGATAGGTGGTATCCGAGAGGATTTCCGCACGGAAAAAAAATTGGCTGTATGTGGCTATAATGTCACAATTTTACTAAGTTTTTGTTTCTTTTTTTATGAGAAATTATTGTAGTAATACTAATGCATACAACCACGTTTTAACGACATATAAATTTAGCCGTTTCTTGCAGTTTTACTTGTGTTAACAATAACTTCACACATCTCACACACGACAGTCTGATCCCAAACTAGACAGAGCCTGTATGTACTATGGTAACCAGACTGCTGATAAACATACATGTATATTTTTGAAATACATACATACTATAGATAAATTACACCCGGATATAGAATAGTGCTCATTGCACAATATTCGT